TTTTTGTGCTTCCTACACGGGAGTCAAAAACCTGGTGATCTAATAATAAAATCTATTGGTTTGATAGCTTGGACTGTAACTTTTAACCCCCAAGAGTGTTACTGCGAAGTACAGTGGCCATGGTGATAGTGTTATGGGCGAGGGGGATGTCACTAACTAGTTTTATATTTAAGTAAGTCATATTAGTGTGATAACACTTTCCAACTTAACTCACCATATTGTACAACAGGTTCTCCCACAGGCTCACCAGCTAAGAGTACAAAATGCAGTGTTTCACTACCCTGTACAAGAAAAAAATTACATCAATTAAACCCCTGGAGGTCTCATATTGCAATATTCATTATAGCCTACCAATCATAGAAACACATCCAAAACTAAATAAACAAGAGACTCAACAACTCACAAAACACAATACTGAAATTCATTAATCTTTTCACTACTTTTCACTGAAGGAAAGTGCAGACTATAAATGGAACTATTTTTTAATGAAATGAAGGAACTGGTGGTGAAAAGGTTATACAGTATAAAAATACTAATATTAGCAAATTCCAAACAAATTAATGTAGTTTCCATTTACTACTTACTGACAGGACTATTTTTATCCTTTGTTTGTTTGTATATATCAATGTTGATTTATAATAGTGATGAGGGAATAGTTCTACTATGCAGTGCTGTGTAATATGAGATATAGAGAGTATGAACTGCATATATATTCTAGATGGGAGTGACAATAATCTAATATTAAGTACCTTATTCTCTACTTCTAGTTTATCACCATCACTGAGTACCAATGTGTAATGGGCTTCACTCTCTCTCCCATCATCATGTGGGCCTGGAAAATCAGTTACATGTGGAATGCAAAAAACAGTTTTTGAAAAAACTACAAAATATTTGAGTAGTACATAGTAAAATGCATTACAAAATATATCCTAGTGTTACAACATACCATATAATACAGTGTATAGTTCTAACACATGCATTACTCACCAAATAACCCTCTTCCTGCCAATACATAAACAAAAGCATTCCAGCCTACAGGGAGTGCCTGTGTCATCTTGGAGCCTTTGTTTACTTTGAAATCAAGATAGTATGTAGGTGTTCTAGTTCTCACTGGGGACTGCAATAAATAAAATACATACAACATACATAAGCATGCAAAATATCACACGTAACATAACTAGCTCAAAAAACAACATATTTTTGGCTGTTGCCATGGTAGGATGTGAAGCTACATTGGTTTAATACAAATAAAACAGTATACGAATTTTCATTCAGTCCTCAGAAGTAACTTCACTTTAATATTAGTGTGTATTTTGCTGTTGCATACTAAGTATGAACAAAATAGGCTCAGCCAAAAAAATCACAGAAGTGTAAAAATGTGTTACTGGCGAAAAGTAACCCCAACTTTGAGGTCAAATTTCTCAATAATGAAAAGAGAAATAAAGAAAATAGATTATAGTAATTTGTGCCCAAACTCAAGCTGAGTAGAAAGAGCTATGTCCATAGTTTTTAATCTCAGATTTGCAGCAGGAGATACATTTAGAGAAACTATTAAAACATAGTTGAACTCTGGTGACCTTGCCCTTTGTTATACAGTCAAACCTCGTTAGTGCGAATATCAAGGCCCCAGGTGAATATATTCGTTATAACCGGTGTTCGTAATAACCGATCACCACTAGAGGGCGCTTTACAGAAACAAACTAATTACCATAAGTCAGGGTAAACAAAACTATGGCGCCATTTTAAACACTAGACCAAACATTAAAAACACACAAATAGTATTGAAATAAACGTTGTCATGTTTATTAAAATAATATTAAAATGGAAAATACAAATGTACTGTTCATTATTCAAAGTACATGTATAAATAAATGAATAAAGAAATTCTTAGTACGTCCATGCTGGATCGACTGAATTTGTCACGTATGCATACACAAACACACATGTACTCATTGTATTCGTTTCATGATTTCTCAGTCATAAAAAATAAAATTCACATTGCATTCATTACATTTGTAATACGGTAA